TGTATGTATGTGTGTATATGTATGTATGTGTGTATGTATATATGTATGTATGTGTGTATATATGTATGTATGTGTGTATGTATATATGTATGTGTGTTTGTATATATGTATGTGTGTATATATGTATGTATGTGTGTGTTTGTATATATGTATGTGTGTTTGTATATATGTATGTATGTGTGTGTATATATGTATGTATGTGTGTTTGTATTTATGTGTGTATGTGTGTTTGTGTGTATGTGTGTATGTATGCATTGTGTGACCCTGCTTCTGTTAGTAGTTATTTACTGCAGTGGCTGGATAAAGGTGTATTGAAACTGCCAGCAGGATGGTTATGGAGGGCTGCTTGTAAAAGGAAGCCCTGTGTGGTACAAACAGTTAACATGCTCAGCTGCTAATTGAAAAGTCAGAGGTTCAGGTCCACCCAGAGGTGCGGTGGCAGTCTACTTCTGAAGCGTCAGCACTGAAGTGGCAGTGCCCACCCAGCTGGACAGTGCCCGTGCTAACATTGGAGCCATGCAGAGAAGGTTGGCGTGGCCCCTGCTCAAGGACGGCAGGCAAGTTGGAGAAACGTTCTGCATGTCAAGGGAGAAAAGAAAACCCCGCAGTGCACAGCCTTGTCTGCTGCCCCCAGGTCGCCATGAGTTATAACCAACTGAAAGGCCGCTGGTGATGTTGAGAGATTTTATTTTGTCTTCCTAGTTATGTAATGTCTTCATCTTTGCAGAAGCGATAGACTACTTTTCTCATGGGAAAACTGTGTCCTGAAACACGATGGCAGAGTGCTTGCGTGCTGGGCTGCTACTGGAAAGGTTAGCCCCAGCCCCCTCTGCCAGAGAAAGACCAGGTTGCTCAGTCCCTAACGAGGTGCAGTCTCAGAAACTCAGGAGCAGTTAGTTCTCCCCGGCCCTGGAAGGGTGGCTAGGAGTCACAGTCGCCTCGAGGATGATGGGTTTTGTTTGTTTTAAGAAAAATGTGCACTCTGGGGATAATTGCAATAGACACCTTGTCGATAGAAATTCAAATAAACAACGAAAGATTATTTCAAGAAGGGCTCATTAATGAAGCTGTTTTGGCTATTAATAAAAAATGTCAAAGCTGATAATACTTGGTCCAGGTAATGAAACATTAAAACACTAGATGAGTCACTATGATTGGAGATAGAAGTGACATAACCTTTCTGAAGAATAATTTGATAATCTATATCAAGAACATGGAATAACTGGCAGTCCCTGTAGCCCAGAAACTCAACTTCTTGGAAACCAATCAGACATGTGGGGGCTTCAAGTAGTTCATGGGGAAATAGAATGAAAAGATGATGGAATTTTTCCACAGACTTTTTGGAGCCCCTTCTTCTGGGCAGTTTTGTGTTTAAAGGTGTTCATTTCCAAATTGTGTGTTATACAGTTGCTGCTCTACTAGGATAACAGATTGTACATTTGATTTTTAGTGCTTCTTCACGATTGTCAGTAGAGTAGCAGCAGGCTGTATCTGCTGCCCTGGCGGGTATGTTAGCTCACATCTCTGCCACCATTTGTCATCAAGTCGACTCCGACTCGGGCCGACTCCGCGTGTAAGATGGCCATTCATTTAGTGTACTTCAAATGCCGAGTGAGCTCAAAGGGAAGTGTAGGATTTTTATGTATATCGATAGGAGAAAGGACTTTAAAATGGAGGGGGATTACCAAGATCTCGATGGACTGTTGCACATTAACATTTCCAGTGCTAAAAGAAAATACCGAAAGAGTCATGATAAAATAGGGAGTGAAGCTTATGATCGCAGAATGATCATACTAGAGAGAAAACCGCATTTAAAAAGACGTGGAGCTAAAATGCCAATATAGGCACACGGTATTAGCCTTTGGGCAGTGGAATATTTTATTACTTCCTTACACTTTTCAACACTTTATGAATTCCTTGTGATGAACATGTGTTTCTTTTGTATAATCAGGAGAGAATACAGTTTCAAAATAAATGTTGAAAAATATAGGTTCCAAATAGAATTAGTAAATGCCACTCTTTTGAAAAAAACTTCCTTTTAAATTCCAGGGCTTTAGGCTCCGATACAGGAGGATCAACCCGGAACCCGGCTGCCCACTGTGGGCTGATCGGTTTAAAGCCAAGCTATGGATTGGTCTCCCGACATGGGCTCATCCCTCTGGTGAACTCAATGGATGTGCCAGGGATCCTAACCAGAAGTGTGGACGATGCAGCGATTGTGTTGGGTATTTATATGATTGCATACAGCTCCACAGCAGGAGCATGTTGCTGTAAAGCAGTTGCCTGGTGCTGATAAGTCTCTCTCTGTGCAGCTGCCCTGGCTGGGCATGATCCCAAAGATTCTACTACAATACAAGACCCTGTGAAACCATGGATGCTACCGAGCTTGAACGATGTGAGCAAACTATGTATAGGAATTCCAAAGGTAACTCCCTCCAGTCCTTACTTTTTAAAACTACCGTCAGGTCAAATAGAGGGCACAGACCTAGGCAGCAGATGGGTAGGGTTTGACCCTCGCCTGTGCCATTTTCAATACTCTGACCTTGAACACGTCTGTCTTTCTGAGCTTTGTTTTCTCATCTGTAAAATGGGAATAAATTAAAGTCTTCACTTCAGGGAGTTGTGAAGTTTAAACTTCACATTGCCATGTCAAATGGGTCTGTTTCTAAATCCTCTCCTTACCTGTTAGGTAACTTTACAAAAGTTACTTGCCTCCACTAGACTATTTTTCACTTAAACAACGAAGGATGATAAGTTTGTTAAGAGAATTAAATGGAGACCCTTTGGAAAACATCTCAAGAGTACCATGTTTTTATGCAAGGAACACATCCCTTCTACATTTTGTTTGTGACCAACTGCTCCCGCCCTCCAACAGCTCTTTTAGTAGCCAGCCTATGCTGTTTGTTTTTGTTTTCTGATTTGTTTGTTTTTTACCTGCAGCAGTGACGTTTTTTTTAATTGCTTACAAAAATATCTCAGGAGTAAAGATTGGTTTGCAAACAAACATAGAAGATTGTGCTGTTTGCATAAAAGTATAGTACTTGAGGTTATAACAAGCATTTAACAAACATGAGTTCCCCAACCAGATTTCCAATGGTCAATATTGTTATACTTAGTTCATAATATCTAGCACAGTGTTTGTCATATATAATCTTAAATGTTAATCATACATTCTGTTTACACAAGTATTGTTTTGACATGCAAAAGTTTTATACAGTTTCAATCATTTGCCAATTTCAGAAAGTATTTTTGTCTGAATACATCATCAGTATCATTGTGCAATGGTGCTAGAGGAATATCTTACATATCTCCTGGGTGTCGGTAAATAATAACAATTACAGCACTTAACACATGACCTAATCAGTAAACTTCTCTGAATCTCAGTTTCCTACTCTGATAGTAAGGCATGTCACAATAGAAGGTTTTTTGTCTTTTAGGCTTTTTCAAAAATACCACATTAACGTCCTCAGAAAAGGATTGTGATGGTGGATATTCTCTAAGTTAGCCCAAATAGGTTCAATCTTTTTAGCAACCTACCAGTGATTGGATCCATTTTTCAAATGCATTGCAAAAGGTCCCGGAGTCCAAATTTTTATAAAATAATTTGTGGGAACATTTCATTTTCTTCTTGACTTTTTCCTATCAGGAGTATCTTGTGCCAGAATTATCAGGGGAAGTGCAATCTCTTTGGACCAAAGCTGCTGACCTCTTTGAATCTGAGGGGGCTAAAGTCATTGAAGTATCCCTGCCTCACACCAACTATTCAATTGTTTGCTACCATGTTTTGTGCACAGCAGAAGTGGCATCGAATATGGCAAGATTTGATGGACTAGAATATGGTAAGAAAAATTTTGTTTTGTGGTGTTTTTTAAGTTAGTTGCTTCAGACATTTGAAGGTTCACATATTTTAGTGGCAAGAAAATTATTGTCTGAGAGAATGATAATGATTCATAAAATTACATCAGGGAATCTGTCAGTTTAGCACTGCACTTATGCTATTCAGGAAACGTGTACTAAAGCGCTTTAAAAATTCATGGAAGGAGGGAAAGAGGACGCCTACCCACAAAGATGTATAGATTTGACCGAGGTTGTGTATTTTTCTGTGCTGCAAATATATCCATGACTGTGGTGCAGCACAGAAGAGGCAATGTTATGAAAACTTCTTTGGCATAACCAGACTCTGAGGGATGAGTCTCAGGGCCTGTAGGGTCCCTTCTGGGGACATCAACGTCTACGGGGTCAATATCATTCACAAAGATAATGTTCTCATCCTGCTTGGGAGAGTTGTGATGGGCTTCTTAAAAACTGAGCAGCCATCTAAGATGCAACCATCGGTCTCCTCCCATCCGGAAGAAAGAGGGTGTTGGGAATAAAAAAGACGTGGGGAAACCATTAGTCCAGTAGACTAACAACTCATGCACACATCAGTTTCTGTAAGCCTGAAACCAGAAGAACCAATTGGTGCCCGGTTACCACTACTGAGTACACCGAAAAGGATCACATTAGAAGGTCCTAGAGAGAATGGAAGGAAAATAAGGTACAAAACTCAAAGTCAAAGATATCAGGCTTACTGATGGAAAAAAACTTAGTCACCCTTCTGTTCTGCTTCTGAACTCATCCTTCTGGTAAAATAATCAATTATGTAAGATCAAAAGGGCGGCATTTACCCAGTGAAAAAGTTCAGAGGTTAGGAAAGGAGGAGGAGCAGAAATGGGAAACAGTCAGCAGAATAAGCGATGTACACTGAAGGGTGCAGCGGGTGAGCTGAAACAACGTGTGTGGAATGTGAAACTGACGGTCTGCTCTGTAAACCTTCACCTAAGTCAGTCACACGTTGAAAAGAAAATGTCCCATCCATGTGAACTTGGAAATAGTGTACATTCTACTTTAGTTGCATGAATTATAAAAATGGGGATGGCCCCAATCCCAACTATGTGGACACCCCACCTCCACCGCCTCAGAACAATGAACTTCAGAGGACAAGGGCTACAGCTTGGGGAGAGAGGGGTGTCTGATTAGAGCACATGTGAGAAACGAAAAGGAATGGAGAGGAAGGGGAGCACATCCTGGCTCATCAAGCCCCAAGGACGATATTCCTCGTCGGAGCAGACAACACACAGAGAGGACCATAGGGCCGTCCCCACCATGAGACACGACGTCCCTCACTAAACCATAGCATTGTGGGGGACAACACTGGAGACACAGTGTGGGAAGTGTGCACAATCTGACCCCATCACACTGGGGCGAAACACTGAGAGCATGCAACAGAGCAGCAAAGAGAGCAGAGTGATGAAATCCCCGGGGAACACCAAAAATAGACTCTAGAGACAGAGTGTGTCACCCCATCAGATTCGACTGGAAAACACTCATAAAGGCCACCAAACAGACCTTGAACTATTTATAGGCTTTTTCCATTTTTGTCACTGGCTTTCTTTTTGTTGTTATTGTTTTATTCTTTTGTTGGTCTTGACTTCCTTTGTTGTTTTACTTGGCTTTGTCTGGTTTCTGCGCCTATTAATGTATCTGCATGTCTATCTAAATAAGATAGGTGGGATAAGTAATTCGGAGATGTAAAGAACGGGACCAAAGGTTCAGGGGGGATATGGAAGAAGGGGAGGTGGGAGAAAGGAAGGGGGTGGGGGGGAACCAACCCAGGGACAAGGGAATAACAAGTGAACTAAAATCAATGGAGAGAAGGGCATAGGATGCCTAGTGTGACTTAATCAAGAGCAATGTAGCAGCGAGGAACTACTAAATCCAAATGAAGGCCAAATATGATGGTGGGACAAGAGGAAAGTAAAAGGAAATAGAGGAAAGAACCAGGAGGCAAAGGACATTTATAGAAGTCTAAATACAGGCATGTACATATGTAAGCATATATAACGAAAGGGGAATAGAACTATGTACTCATATCCATGTGTTAAGAATTAGGGTAGCAGATGGACATTGGCCTTGTGTTAAGAGTACTCCCTTAACACAAGAACACTTTGTTCTAACAATCCGGCATTCTGTGATGCTCACCTTCCCAACACGATCGCTGAAGACAAAATGGATGCATAAGCAAATGTGGTGAAGAAAGCTGATAGTGCCTGGCTATCAAAAGATATAGCATCTGGGTTCTTAAAGGCTTGAAGATAAACATTCAGAAGCAACAAAGCCCACATGGAAGAAGCACACCAGCCTGTGTGATCATGAGGTCTTGATGGGATCAGTGTCAGGCATCTAAGACCCAGAACAAAATCATACCCAATGTGAATGGGGGGTTGTGGGGCTTGGAGTGGAGACCCAATGCCCATCTGTTGACAATTAGACATCCCCTCACAGAGGGGTCACAGGGAAGAGATGAGCCAGTCTGAGTGCAGTATAGCACCAATGAAACACAACTTTCTGCTAGTTCTTTGGTGCCTCCTTCCACCCATTATCTTGACCTCAGTTCTACCTTACAAATCAGATTAGACCAGAGCATGCACACTGCTACAAATAAGAGCCTGCAACACAGGGAATCCTGGATACATAAACCCCTCAGGGCCAACAATGAGAGTAGAGATACCAGGAGGATTAGGGGAGGGTAGTGGGAGAAGGGAGATTCGATCACAAGGATCAACCTATACCCGCCTCCCAGGGGAACAAACAATGGAAAAATGGGTGAGGGGGGACAGAGGATGATATAAGATATGAAAATAATAATCTATAACTTATCAAGGGTTTGTGTGGGAGGGCGGGCTGGGGAGGAAGGGGGAATAAATGGGGAGCTGATGTTAGGGGCTCAAGGGGGAAGAGAATGCTTTGAAAATGATGATGACAGCATATGTGCAAATGTGCTTGACACACTGGATGAATGTATGGATTGTGATAAGAGATGTAAGAGCCCCCAATAAAAGTATTTTTTTTAAAAAGATGGCAATAGAATGAAATATGTAAAACTCTAAAAGAAAAGTCAAATAAAAATACTATGTCCAACAAAATTTAAAAAAAGAATTATAAAAATGTCAATCAGGTTTATTTGTTTGATAGTCATTAAAGTCTTTTGTATCCTTCCTGATTTTAATTTTTTTAAAAAGTTCATGGAAAATTCCAATACCTTTTAATTCCACAAATATTTGGAAACCCCTGTATATTTTCAATACATCACTCTGGACTATGAATTTCTTGAATGGATAGTGTCTTATCTTTGTATATACTCCAGCCTTTCTAATGTAACATGGTAGGTGTTTAATCAAGACTTAATGAATGGAGGAGTGAACAAATGAAGTTTCTTTCTTGGCTATTTTCTTCTCTCTTTGACTCTTGACTAAATCATCATGTCACAGCAGATGAAGAACTATTAAGGACAACCCCGCAAGATCCCAGACTGGTTAAAAATGTAACTCTAGATCAGGTTTTTAGCCAAGATTTTACGTTTTAAATCATATTCATCTCTTGTGTTGTTTTCAGGTCACCGAGGTGACATGGATCTGTCTACTGAAGCTCTGTATGCCACCACCAGGCGAGAAGGGTTCAATGATGTGGTGAGGGGGAGGATTCTCTCAGGAACCTTTTTCTTACTGAAAGAGTAAGATGATTCGTTTAGGAATATCCTCTGTTCTTAAGGAATATCCTTCAGAATAAAATACTAGCATGACTCTCAGGTCTTGTCCATTGAGGTATTTGCTAAAGAAACAAAGTGCTCTCATTTGAATTAGAAAAAAGCTAACCTTGGGTCAGCAGTTGTTCCGCAGGAGAACGATGAGGCTCTCTGCTTCTGTAGAGTTCCTATCCCGGAAACCCATGGGCAGCTCCTGTCTGTCCTACAGGGTCACTATGGGTTGGCATCAACTCTATAGCAGGATTTATGCGACCTCTGGTTCCTTGCTATGTAAGCATGAGCACATTGACATCGGCTTGAGTGGCTAGTATGAGCTAAGCCGGAAGCTCAGGAGCATTTGAACTCGCCCTGGCTGCATTGAAGGAGCCCTGGTGGGGTAGCTTCCAGTACGTAGGTGCTAAACAGAAGGTCAGGAGAGAGATGTGGCCGTCTGCTTTCACAGTAAACTTAGTTATAACTGGAAGCCCTATGAGGCAGTACTACTCTCCTGCAGTGTCCCCATGAACTCAACAGCAGTAGGTTGGGCTGGGGGGATTTGGTTATTATTGATAGATTGGACTTTTGCTTTAGAGCTTAAGCAGGGTGTCTGAGGAGCCATGCAATGAGTCAACTTACTTTTCCTCTGCCTGACTTGTCTATTTTCTCCAAGAAGGGATTCTTAATATAACTCTTACTTAGATCATCTGAAATATAAGTTGATCAATAATCTTCTGAATGTGATTCATTTTCTGTACCACCAAGTCTGGCATCAGAAGTGAGAAAAGACAAGACTAGTTATTGTAATAAGTAACTTCCTGGAATTTTCCTTCATACCTGCAGGGCCAGAAATCATTTTATTCATCTGTGAATCACGTCAGGGTCCATAGGATTGGTTTGGTTTTTTCTGTATGGACCAGATGCTTGAAATAACCTAAGAGTTGTTCTTCGTATTGCTGGGTTCCATTCACTCAAGCAATTCTGTGTACAGTGGAGCTAAGCACTACCAGGTCTCTCGGTGGGCTTGCCGTGCTGTGCTTGAGTCCCTCGCTGCAGCCGAGTGTCAGTCTCGGCATTGCGAGTCTTTCTCTTGCTCACTGGCCCTCCTGCTCCACTGACTGGTGTCGCCGTCCAGCTTTCACATGCGTGGAAGGCGAGGGAAATACCCTGGCTTGTGTCGGGTGCACCTTCATCCTCAAAGTGACATCCTCACACTGCAAATCTACATTCTTGTCATGCAAGTCTATTGGCAACATTTTTTTTTACATTTGTTTCTATATAAAAGGATTTATTATGTCAGACACTGTAAGACATGACAAAATAATAATTTATAAATTATTAAGGGTTCGTGTCGGGGGAGTGGGGAAAGGGGAAAATTGAGCTGATAATGAGGGCTCAAGTAGAAAGTAAATGTTTTGAGAATGATGATGGCAACAAATGTCCAAATGTGCTTGACACAATGGATGGATGTATGAATTGTAAGAGTTGTATGAGCCCCCAATAAAATGATTTAAAAAAAATTTTTTTAAGGATTTATTTTGCCTTTAACTTTAAAAGATATGTTCACTGAGTATAATTTTTTAGCTTAATATATTTTCTTTCACTACTTTAAAGATGTTCCATCGTCTCCTGATGTGCATAGTTTCTGAGAAGTCTGTAGTCATTCTTTTTTTTTTAAATCATTTTATTGGGAGCTCTTATAGCTCTTATCACAATGTATACATATATCCATTTGTCAAGCACATTTGTACATGTGTTGCCATCATCATTTTCAAAACATTGTCTTCCTACTTGAGCCCGGGGTATCAGCTTCTCGGGTTTTTTGGTCATTTTTTTCTTATCCTATTCCTCTCTATACTATGTCTTTGTGCCTCCGACTTATTTTTTCTCTTGATCTTCGTTTTTCAGGAATCTGAAAATGATATGTGATTTTATTTTGCTTGAGGGTTAGGATGGAGCTTCTTGAATTTGTGGGTTTATAGTTTAAACCAAATTTGGGGCATTATTTTTCTTCAAATATCCTCCCCTCCCATCTTTCCAAGATTCTTATTTCCATGCTGTTAATCTGATTGTTGTTTTTCTACAGCTCACTGGTACTCCCTTCTTCTGTTCCAGTTAATTATTTTTGGTTAACTTATATATATTACTCTGCAGAATCAGTGACGTGGTCTTCTGCTTTGTCAATCTGCAGTCAATCCCATCCAGTACATTTCTATTTCCCATCTCTAGAAATCTAAAGGTGGTTTTTTTATCTCTTCAGTTTTCTCACTGTTTTATATGTCCCTCTATTGAGTATATGCAGAATGGTTAGGGTGCCTGTTTTAATGGGGATGAAGTAAGACATTGTAATAGAAAGCTAGAATAAGCTTCTAGTCACCTCTGTTCTAGTCTTACCTCGACCACCGCCTCTGTATGTATTTAATTTTTCTCACCTGAAAATGAGTGTACTGGTGTAGTGATGTTTCTTGGGAGGGTTGGTATTTCATAATTATGCTTATGTGCTGAAGTGATTGATTATGTTCCAGATGCACAAACTTTTAGGATATAGTATAGTTGAATAAAACTAATTTTTATGCCTTAAAAGAATCTTGGTGGTGTCTGCTTGTAAAGACCAAGAATCCAATGGTTCTTTAATAAGCCTAATATTTAAAAATAGATGGAAAGAAATAACAAAAATCCTTTAAAGTATCATCTAATACTTTCCACAGAAACTATGAAAATTACTTCCTCAAAGCACAGAAAGTGAGACGACTCATTGTGAACGATTTTGCGAATGTGTTTAATTCTGGAGTTGATGTCTTGCTAACTCCCACGACTCTGTGTGAGGCAATGCCATCCTTGGAGTTCATCAAAGAAGACAACAGAACCCGAAGTGCTCAAGACGATGTTTTCACACAAGCAGCGAATATGGCAGGTGAGGGCCCGCAGAAACGTCCTGGCTTTCTCCCGGTTCATCGGCAAGCCCCTGATTCTCAGTTTACACTCTAGCTGTGCTGTTTCCTGAAAGTTATAGCTGGTCCATGTGAAATGTGTGTGTCTGTATTTGTATACGTGCACAGAGCATATATAGTCTATACTGTACTCATCACTCATATTTTTATTTTGAAAATTTTCAACCTAAAGGAAAGTTTCTAAAATACTGCAATGAATGTCCATAGACCCTTCACTGAGATTCACCTTAACCTTTGAAACATTTGCTTTCTCACATTTCTTTTGCCCTCTGTCTCTACACTCTCACACACAAATTTTTTAGCAGAATCATATGAAAGAAAGTTGTAGACTTGCCAGTTTATACCTACATTCTTTAGTCTGAATCACATAAGAATAAGGATTTCTTTGATATAACCTTTGTCATTTATAAGCACGTTGTGAGGTGATACTTGAAGGTGAATATTTTAGTCCCCATGGTTTTGTCCTCAGTTTAGTGTTCATTGATGATCCTTGCCTGACCCAGTTATGATCTGTTGGTGGTGTTGTTAGGTGCCAGTGCTGCTGCCTCGTGCTGTCAGGTTAGTTCCAGCGTACAGCGACCCTGTACAGAGCGGAGCAGAACACTGCCCACACCTGTGTACTCCTCCGTCCTCACTGCGTGCGCGAGCCCTGTGGCAGCCTCCATTCATCCATTGCACGAGTCTTCTTCTTTCTCACCAAGCTTGATGGCCTTCTCTGGGACCGGTCCCTCCTGATGATATACCCAAATATGTGGGATGGAATCTTGCCATCCTCATTGCCAGGGCACATTCCAAGGCAGATTGGTGGTTCTTCTGGCAGTTCCTGGTATGTTCTTCACCGATACACCAAGACCATCATTCAAAGGCTTCCGTTCTTTTCCAGTCTTCCGTCTTCCTGCTATTGCGTTGGTGCCTTCAAGCCATTTCTGACTTAGGGCACCCGTGTGTACCACAGAACAAAATACCACTCGGGCCTGCGCCATCCCCACGATCGCGCTTATGTTTGAGCCCATTGTGTCAGTCACCTTGTCAGAGGCTTCCTCTTCTTTGCTGCCCGTCTACTTTCTTAGTCCTCAAAACAGCATCCTTGCTTTTCAACACCTTAAAGAGGTCTTATGTAACAGATTTACCCAGTGCAATGTGTCCTTTTGACCTCTTGATTGCTGCTTCCATGGGCATTAATTGTGGGTCCAAGCAAGGCAAAACCCTCGATAACTTCAGTCTTTTCTCTGTTTATCATGGTGTTGCCTACCGGTCCAGTTGTGAAGATTTTGCTTTTCTTCCTATTAGGTTTAATCCGTGCTGAAGACTGCAAACTTTGGCCCTCATCAGCAAGTGCTTCAAGTCCTCCTGACAAGCAAGATTGTGTCATCTGCATATGGCAGGTTATTAATAAGCCTGCACGTTCTTCTTCACGTCGTCCAGCTTCTTTATTTGCTTTGCATACAGATCGAAAAGTATGGCGATGGGAGACAACCCTGACACACACCTTTGCTGGTTTAAAACCCTGCAGTAAGCCCTTGTTCTGTTTCCACAACCGCCTTTTGATCCAGAGACATGTCCTCATGAGCACAATTAAGTGTTCTTGGAATTCCAGTTCTTCTTGAGGCTATCCATAGTTTGTTATGGTCCACACATTCAAATATCTTTACATAGACAAGAGAACACAAGTAAACATCTTCCTGGTATTCTGTGCTTTCAGGCAAGATCCATCTGATGTCAGCAATGTTATCTCTTGTTCCACGTCCTCTTCCAAATCCATCCTGGATGCTCTGGCAACTCTCCATCAGTGTACTTTTACAACCATTGTTGGATGATCTACAGCAAGCATTTACTTGCATGTGTTATCAGTGAGATCGTGCTATAATTTGATCATTCTGTTGGGTCACCTTTCTTTGGAATGGCTACAAATATGGATTTCTTCCAGTCAGTTGGCCAAATAGCTGTCTTCCTAATTTCTCTGCATAGATGAGTAAGTGCTTCCAGCTTGCTGAAACATTTCAATTGGTTGAAACATTTCCATCAGTCTTCCGTCAATTCCTGGAGCCTTGTTTTTGGCTAACGCTTCAGTCAAGTTTGCCTTCTTCCTTCAGTCCCATTGGTTCTGGGTCACATGCTGTCTCCTGTAATGATTGAGTGTCAACTAGTTCTTTTTGGTACAATCCTCTGTATTCTTTCTAATTCAGTATTTTGCCCATAGAATCTTTTAATGTTGCACCTTGAGGCTCAGCGCTGTTCTTTGAGGTTAAGATATGCTGAGTGTGTGCTTCCTTTTGGGTTTCCTAACTCTAGGTCTTTGTATGTTTCAGTATAATAGTTTATTTTGTCTTTTTGAGCTGCCCTTTGAAATTTACTGTTTGGCTTTTTTCACCTTATCATTTCCTCCATTTGCCTTGGCTACTCTACAATTGCCAAACTCCGCCATCAAGTCGATCCTAATTAGTAGCAACCTTGTAGAACAGGAAAGAACTGCCCCTGTAGGTCCTGAGGCTGGTTTATTCCTTGGAGTGGAAAGCCTTGTCCTCCTGTGGAGTCGCTGGTGGTTTGGAACTGCTGACCATTTCGGTTAGCAGCCCAGCGTGTAACTACTATACTACTAGGGTTCAGGGAGAAAGATGAGGCTTTCCCGTAAATAGAATCCCGTAGGGAGTTGCTCTGAGTCTGAATCAACTTGATGTCAGTGAGTTTGGCTTGGGTTCACAGTTAAGAGTAAGCTTAAGTCTCTTCTGATGTTCACTTTGATTTTTTTGTTCTTTGCTGTCTTTTAATGACCTTTTGCTTTCTTAATATATGATGCTCTTGCTGTCAGCCCACAGCACATTGGATCTTCAGTCATTAGTGTCAAATCCATTCTTCAGATCCTCTAGAAATTCAGATGGGGTATACTTAAGCTTGTAATTTGGCTCTCATGGACTGTTTTACAATATATACTTGAGTATAAACCAAGTTTACCAGCACATTTTTTAATGCAGTTTTTGTGGTAAAATTAGGTGCCTCGGCGGATATTCAGGTTGGCTTATACTCGAGTATATATGGTAATTTTCTTCAGCTTCAACCTGAACTTACATCTGAGTAATAGATGGTCTATTCCACCATCCACCCCTGACCTGGTTTTGAGGATCTAAACGGCATTATATTCATCGTCAAAAAGGACATTTCAAAATAGTATTATATCTAACCAGATACAAAGAAATACAGTCAATATGACTATTCTTCAAATTTTTGCACCAACTACTGAAGCTAATAATGCAGAAATTGAATAATTCTACCAGTGTCTTCAGTTTGAAATTGATCATATATGCAATCAAGCTTCACTGATAATCATTGGCAATTGGAATTCAAAAGTGGGAAACAAAAAGGAAGGAACAATTGTTGGAAAATATGACTGGAGATTGCCTGATAGAATTTTGTAAGACCAACGGTGTCTTCATCGCAGATATCTTTTTTCAACAACACAATACAGGACTATAAAGTGGACATCATGTTCCAGTTGGATACACAGAAACCAAATTGACGACATCGGTGGGAAGAGACGATGGAGAAGCTCAGTATCAGCAGCTAAAACTAAGCCAGGGCCCACTACAGAATTCGTTATATATATGGAATTGCAAAATGCTAACGTTCCTAATTCTATCACTTAACATTTAGTAGCTAACAGTCTTCGCTAAATAAGAGTTCTTAGTGGAATAGAAACAATTTTACTGTCTTTGTGTGTGTGTGTTTAAATAGTTTCACATTTGGTCAATAGATATACCTTGAACCTATATGTGTCCTTTATACCTGTCCCTATTCACCTTTGAAAGCCTCCTTATTTTTTAGCATAACAAATGTCCCCAAATCTGGAATTAACATTACCCTAAAAGACCATGTTTCACTCAACAGATTACCAAAAGTTCAAAACCATTCTGTCAGCCAGGCGATAAGAGAAGTCATTTTGCTGATGGGAGTTGAGAATGGTACAACTTCCTTGGAGTAGAATTTGACTTTAGCTAATTCTATACACACTTATCTTTTGATGGAATGTTCCTTGTTCATCTTAGAAACTAGCAAGAATACGAAGAAAGGTGCACAGAGTATTCATTGAAGCTATGTGTAAGATGGGTAAATATTGGAAACCATCTAAATACCCGGTCATGGAGAACTGATTGAATAAGTCGTGGTTTAACCGTGTAAGAGAACGATGTAGCTATTTAAGTAGAGGAAGGAAGACGTTCTCTGGGACCTGCTGTGGAATGGTTTCTAAGACGCACGGTTAAGTAAGCAAAGCAACATGCGGAACTTGTACTTGCTATTGTATTTTGGTTATTTTAACATGTTATATCTTCTTGCACCTACTAGCTTTTGAAAGTGGAAGAGGCCTTTGCCCCGTAGGATGGAGAATTAGTCAACTAATGGGTTTCTTTTTATCCCTCAGGATTGCCAGCCATCAGCGTGCCTGTGGGCCTCTCAAGCAAAGGGTTGCCCATTGGACTGCAACTTATTGGACGTGCATTTTGTGACCAGCAGCTTCTTACAATTGCCAAGTGGTTTGAAAAACAAGTCCAGTTTCCTATTATTCAATTTCAAGAACCCATGGGTGACTGTTCAGAAATCTTGGGAAATGAAAAGTTAGCTTCTGTTTCTCTAAAGCAGTAATAATAAAAACACCGTGCATATTGAAGCAGCAGAGATTTTATACTCGGGATCTTATACTTATGATCTTAGAAACTCTTGTAATTGTGCCCATTGTCAACTTAGTCATTTCTTGCTGTCACTTTGTTAAATTCCTCTTATACAAATGAAAATTATAAATAAACTGTCCACACTTATTAAGCATTTGCTAATTGCCAAGTACAAGATTTCTGCCATACAGCAATGGATACATTCCTGGAAAAGGATACATTCAACAACAGTGTACATTAAAAAGAAGGCTGATAGTCAAATTAAGAGTAAGAATAAATTGCTCTAAAGTTTTACATGTTTGTAACCAAAGTGCTAACAAAAACCATAGTTGTGACCTGCAGAGTGAACCTGGACAGTCCCGGCAGGCAGCGACTCAACACATGGCGGAGGGTGCCGGGGTGGGGTGGGGGTGGGTGGATGTTAAACATGCACAAAGCCCATCCCATACAGTGGAAATGTTAGGTCTGGGTGCTAGATGAAGCAGATGGAAGAGAAGCTCTGAGCACAGGGGGAAGTGCAACCCACTGGCACCCAGAGTCATGCAAAACGCGAGTCGGGGGCCCTCCCAGGGAGGAGCCCAAATACAGGTGCTCCTTTATTTCTTTCAAAACAGAACTGGGATGACTGAGACATTTCTCATTTCCTACTAAAAGTTAACACTTTTGCTTTCCCAGAAACCCTTGCCTACGAGCCACACCAGCCTCCGTGTTCCACTGTGCTCCTCCTGTGTATGGATTGCAGATGAGCTCTTTGTGCCACAGAAGTATTTGTTACAGCCTAACAGACCAGACCGGGCTGGAAACTTGGAGGAGGGAAGGGTGGCTTCAGGGAGAGGGACTGAATGTACAGAAGTAGTACGCAATTTGGAAAACATGAGGGGAATTTGGTTGGGCCGCTGGAATGAGGCTCAGGGCAGGATTCCCACCCCCACCCCCCACACACACTCCAGAGTGCTTACTCTCATTTCAAATGCTCTCTGATGCCCTGGCCAAAGGGAATAGTAAGGTTCAGTATTTGAAATAATCTAAGGAAACACATTTTTTACCCACTGTGTGGCTTCACGCAATGCAGGGTTATGTGTTGAGCTCTTAGCCTCAAACTCAGCAAGTCAAAACCACCAGCTACTCCTTGGGAAAAGATGCGGCCTTCGACTCCCGTAAAGAGCCCTGGTCTCAGAAGGCCATTCAGGCAGTTTTCTCTGCCGGAGTCGGAGTCAGCTCAACAGCAGTGAGTGGACGAGAGCCTTCATCCTTTCATTTATCATCTTTCGTGTTGGTCAGGAGTTCTGGTCACCACGTGTGTGGGGGGGGCGTGTTGCAATGAGCTGAAGACTCCAAGTCCATTTTTTCAGCCTCAGACCAATGTTTAGATCTGAGGGCTAAGGAATCTGGAGGGTCATCTGCATGACCCCGCCCCCCATGGAGCAATTTTTAGTTTATTTTTCCTGTTAAACCCTACATTTTTTGTCCCTCCCCTCCCTCACCCTTGTCCCTGGCCTCCTCATAGTCATCAGGTCTTACATGTTACACGTTCTTGATGAAGAAAAGGAGGAAGCTGAATTTTTCAATGCGTTCACTCGGTTTCACTTGTTTTTAATGTACATGAGGTACGTGGGGAAAAATAACTGAAGGGAGCAGCACTAGAAGGTTGTGCTGTGGAGGTGAACCTGCCTGCTTGTGCACATTACAGACCAACCAGGACTGAGGGTTTGTTTTCCATTAATAAATGTCCCTCTTTCCTGAGATCCTTCCACCCAGACACCCAGTGAGTTAAAGTTTACATTTTATGAAAACTGGGTGTACAAGCCCACCAGTATTCTCACAGATTTTTACTCTGAATCCTGAACAAGCAAGAGAATCATAAGAGATTTGAATACCAAATTAGAGCAAGAGGAAGCCATCTGAGTTGCTTTATGAAGGACCTAGTTTGATGTGAAAAGTCAGTAGCCACGTCTTGGGCCGAGGTTTTTGCATGTGTGTGTATATTTGAAATGGTCTGGAGAGAAAGGTCCCCTCTTGTTCCTACATCTTGACTTGAGCTGCGCCCCTGGTTTGAATCTGGAAGTGAGGCTGTTGGTGTTCTCACAGACCACCCGACTAGCATGCCCTGAGCCTAATTTGTTTTTCTTCCTCTTCTTTCTTATGCACGAATTGGACAGAGCTGATTTTGCTCAGTCAATGTCTAGGAACTTAAATGGCCAGTGGCTTCAGTGTCACAGTTAAGTCCAGAGCTAGTTCACTGACATCTTGGCCGCCCTGCTGCCAGAGGAGGGCGCTTCTGGAAGGCGGAGGCAAGTGTACGGTGAATGCCTTGGCAAGTCCTCGCAAAACACACCCGAAAACAAGCAAGCAAAAGACAGCCTCAACAGCAAGACAGTACCAAAGTGAGAACGTTCAGCGAGCTCACAACACTTGACCCCGCCACCAGAGTCTGAGGAGCAAGGGGGCCAACCTGCTGGCCCACCCTCAGGGCCCTCCCAAGAAATGGCTTGAAACCAGGGAGGCAAAAGTTCCCCTTGGAACTGCTGCTAGGACCAAGGGACATGAGCCATCTAGAAACGGCCGGTACCGTTTAGAAGGAGAGAGTGTCATGGTTTCTGTTGGGGAGCAACCTGTGCCTTCTAACGTAAATAAGAAGTGCCTCTAGGCTGTCAGGACGATCTGAGGGACAGCGAAAAGGGCACCGACGAGTGGACCTCAAATTCTGCAAGCTGTGTGTCAGATCCTGTTCCATTCAAAGCAGGGGAACAAACGAATGGTATTTTTAAAGCCGCTTTTATTATGCACCTGAATTAATTCCGTTTAGCCCCCACCCCCACCCCATCTGTCCTCAAAAATTTGATTATCTACACCAAAGCTCCATGTAAGGCTCCTCGGTTATTTCATTATGTAAGCAGTGTGTATACCAGAACATAAACCTGAAAATTTAATACAGGTAAATAACACCGGGGAAAACCAACCAAGATTAAACAGAAGTCATAAAGGATAGAATTTCAGGGGGACCTTTTTATTTCTTTTTCTGTATACCTCCATGAGATATAATTCCAAAAGGATTTGTAGGCCTTTTATTTAAAGTGTAATATTGCAAGCATATAAAAGTAAATAATTGAAATCAAATTGAAGCAGGAGGTGAGGAAGATAAAACCTGGAGTTAGGTAGAAATACAAAAATGCCTGCCAAAGTTGTGTATCGATGCTTACGCTGGACAGTGTGGTGTAGCAGAAAATCTCCCAGAAGCTTTCATGGGAGATCTATAGTGTAAGAGCAAGACCACTAGATTTTAAAACCAGACAAACAGGGTTGAATCCTTACCAGCTGTGCAGCCTAGCCGAACGTCAGGGTCCTGGCCTGTAAAATGGGATGTTCTCTAAGCCATAGGGTAGTGGGGAGGGTGACCTTTAACTGAGAAACAGGCTACAAATACCAGTCACACTATCTATTAAAACAGAGCTCGGACCCACAAGCTACAGCAACCTGCCCCGGCTAACCAAACCACAAACTGCACCAGCCAGTCCAGGAAGCCCTGGGCTCTCCCCCGAGAAGCAGCAGGAGATGATAAATAACTGACCATTTTTCTCCCAGCTTAGGATCACGTGAAGCTGGCCAACTAGGCTTTCCTGACCAATTACACAGTTTGCCTCGCTTCTAGTTAGCTGTCTCCAACTTCCCCCAGGCCAACAGCCTCCAAACAGGGCACCCATGAAGATCCACCCCCACCCCCTATTTCTCCCTCTGCTCCCCCCCCAACATTTTTCACTTCTCTGCCTGCCTTTGTCGTTGGTGGACGCCGAGGAGATGGTTATGCCTTATAGTGACCCTGTGTCCCCCTCACGATGGCTGTATCTGAGCTCCCTCTTGCAGCCACTGTGTCAGTCCCTCTCACTGAGGGCCTTTCTCTTGTGTGCTGATCCACTTCCTCTCCCAAGAATGAGGACTTTTCCAGGGCCTGGTCTCACCTGAAAACATGCCCAAATGCAAGCGGTGGGGGTTGGCTCTCTGTGTGCACTTAAGTGATCTTCATTTCTTAAGCACTTCACATGACGCCAGACAGAGAGGAAGCTTTCAGGAACTTATAGCTATAAAGGTACACCTACTCACTTAACATGGGTGTGTCCCAAAGATTAGGTCAGTATGTGAAAATGGAGAATGACCACATCATTCCAGCTGTCCAATGAAACCATTATGTAACTCTGCCAGAGCACGAAGAATCATGGCCTGGTCAAATTGATCCCCAAACAAAAACAAGACCCTGCCATCGGGTTGATTCCAACTCCCAGCGAGGAATTGCCCCTGTGGGTTTCTGAGATGGTAAATCTGTAGGAGCAGAAGCCTCATCATTCTCCCTGGGACCAGCTGGTGGTTTTGATCTTTCAACGAGCAACCCAAGGCATAACCCACTCAGCCGCCAGGGCTCCTCGCCAAGTTGATATCTCACCCTAAACACAACCAACATGATTGTTGCCTTGCATGTTGGCATTCATTACCATTGAATGTATGCTTTGAATACAAAAATAGTAGATTTGTTACCATGATCCTAAATGGGAAGTGTCAGGTAACCAGAGAATTGATAAGAGGCACAGGTGTGAACCATGAATTTATAAGATTATATAGAGACCTTATGTTCACATCGTCAAATTTACTAAAAGCTTATGTTGAGACTGTTAGGTCTGACCTCCTCTGAGGATAAAATTGGAAATATCTGGAAGCATGGATTGGCTGAATTTTCTTAAAGCAATTTCCATGATCATTTTGATAAGAAATTGGCTCACAAAGTGTTCAAAGGCCTAAAGATATTCATAAACCTTGTGCCCTACAACTCAAAAAAAGGGCAAGACTGGCATGCCTTTATAAGAATGGGGGCTCCATTCATACTCCTACAGTGGAGATGCCTTTGACAGTCAAATTCTTCCTCATACACATCAGTTCTCTTCCAAGACAGACAGCTAACTGAGGCCCCAAAATGCTAAGTATTAGCTTAGTTTAGCTGTAATTAACCTTGGTCATTTTAAAGGTAAATGTTGCCAATGCACTACTAGTATAGCCATCAAGGAAAAACAGTTAATGAGGTACTTAGGGAACATCTAATTTTGAGCAATTTCACTCCTTGGTGGGTCTTCTCAGGCAAATTAGTGGCAAAATGAACTAGC